CTCGCACTCACTCCACTTCACTTATATTGCACACCCCCTCCTCACAAAATTCACTCAAAGATCACCCCAAAATCCTAAATCCATCTCAAACTCACTAAAAACCCAAATCCAAATTTTGAATACAAATCCCATGGATACAAAATTGACAAAGCCTCATCATTGTGCATCAAATCTCACACATCATTCAAAATCAAATCCAATTTACATCAAATTTCACCTCAAATCCAAAATCAACTTTAATTCACATAAAATCCACACAAATAAAAAATAGCCAAATTCCTACTCAAATTTTCTTCATGACAATCACTAAAATTCATTAATTTTCTTATGTCATGTGTCTATGAGTTGAATTAAAGTGTTAAAAGGGCTTAAATTTGGTTTGGGCTTAATTTGGGCTAAACTCAAGGCAGTAACACCACCAATAACATCCAAAGAAACCATCACTTCATTGTCATGGCCATACCCAAATAGCACCATCCCAGGACCGCGACATAACCCCACAAAAACACCAAGATTACACGCCAATAACACTGAAATTCTACCACAGTACCCCCATAATAAAACTACTGTTGCATAACCACCAAGTACAATGTTTTGAAGCCCTAATAACATCATAATACAACTATAATATTGTTACTAATTACACCACAGTGCAACTCCTCGTGATAACACCCCCTCACCACGTAATAACCTCGCAGTGACACCCTCATTTTCAAATCCTCGCCAATAACACCTCCAAACTACGGTGATTCCTATGTATACCGTCTGAACTCTGCACACTCTGCACAAATACACTCCCCCAAATGGAAAGTGGTGATTCCTATGTATACCGTCTGAACTCTGCACAAATACACTCCCCCAAATGGAAAGTGGAGGAATCTCTTTCCACTCTTGGCCAAAAGCACATTACTATTTCCAATGTTTTACTTTAACCAAAATAAAATAAATATAATCCCTAATCGCTTGGATAGTGACATAACCACCCTCTTCCCGAAGCTGTCTAATAACTTCAGATATTTGGAGACCACCCCGAACATGTTTCCATGACTAGCCCAAGTTAAGTGCAAAATCAATTCAAAACCCTTCTTATTACATCTAATCATTGGACACTTGGCACAAGGCAATTCACTACACTATTATCCATCTACGCACTCCCTCAGCATGATAGCAACCTCCCACACCTTGGCAGACCACCTTGGTTGCCGAAAATCCCAAAATAGAGAGTCACGCATAAGAAAACTTAAATATCCACCCATCCTACTTTTTCCACTCCCATTGGAGGCTTGCCTACATGTCAACACCCCATAAGCACCATTTTCCACCCTCTGGCTTGACCAGTTGATCACCATTTTCAACCTATCAATTCACCACCTTTCACGACAAAAAAAGGGAATGTGTGCACAAACCCTAGCGAAGCCCTACCAAATTGATTCTAAAGCCTTCCCACAGCCCTGTGAACTTCATCCCCATCGTTTTTAGCCCTTCTGTTCCACCTCAAACCCCTAATTTTGAAGTTCCAATCCAGGACATTTTTTTGGCCACCAAATCAACTACACCAAAACTCAAAATTTACTATCTCAAAAGCTTCCCCACACATTAAAATCATTCCTACAATAAAAATATTACTTTCCCAGGCCCTCTACCATAGCCCTAGACCAAACCCGAGTTATCTTTTGGTCGAGTTCATACTTGGACCTGTCGACAACTTAAATCAACAATTAGAGGAGGTTCGTACGACCAAGGCGAAGTTTCTCAACCCATCTAATTAAGGCATCACCTCTTTGGTTAAGGTACAACATCAAAACTCCTATTTTTATCTCAGTTTTGGGCTTTTATGAAACAAATGAACATTTCATGTCCACTTAGCCATATGGATATGTGTCTCTAACTTAGATGAAGGTGTAGGATTAAACCACGCTTAATTTGGTTCAGTATTGAGTAAGATCTTAGCATTTTAGTGTGGACAGTTCTCAGTTTAGGGCTAGTTTGGGGATGATAACTGGATGTCATCCGTTTGCGCGTGCATTAAATTAAAGGTGGAAATTCACCTGGATGAAGAAACAGAGCGTGAACCTTGAGCTGACAGGGTTGCTACGTGGAAGGTGTGACCAATATAAATATGTCGTGTGGTTTTGATGGAGCTTTCTCGGTGTTATTCCGGTGTTATGTCGATTTTATTTTAGTTTTACTCGCATTTTTTGAAGGGTTATTGAGACAAAACCATGAATTGACATGACAAATGAGGTGGAGAGCACATCAAATGGTGGAGCGGCACATGAAGCGTT